GCTCTAGGAAGGGTTCAAAAACTTGAAGCACTTTTTAACATCATTTGTGTTAAAACCTGGAAAATGGCTACTATTAACACCAGTGATGCTGGGAAGCAGTCCTCGAGTGGCTAGTTCCATATCTAATTTCAATTCAGACTGATTTTATTTATTTGATTTCGTGATTATATTCAATTTACAGAAAAACACTAAATCGAGTCTGAAGTACACGGTAAAGTCTACGTGAATTTTGGGTTATCACAACTCTAGTTTAATGTTTGTCTTTGAAAATTCCCGTCTTAAGAATAAGGGCGTGTGTTTGGAGTCAGTAGAACGAGTACGACATTTTTAAGTGATATTTTGTCGAGATAAACTGTCACTACACAAAGCCTCACTTTTTCGTGGTCCTAGACTTGACGTCCTAGAAGTGAACTAGAATGTAATTTCTCACAATGTGTATTCCCATTTCAAGGGCTGAGAATATTTTCTTTATCTCCATCAATACACTAGAGTGGCATAAACTAAGCGCATCATTTCAGTGAGACCAAGCAGTCACTCAGATTAACACCTAAACCACCAGTTGTATTTTTTACGCCGATTCCATTACAGTTACAAAGTCATGTAATACAACACAAAGCTTCATGTATTTCTTCAGAAATTCGACTATCTTTTATGTATACGGTTTAATTGAGGTTTGTCGCACAACTATTGCGTAAAGATACTTTTCACCTTTCAAATACGACAAGAACGCTGAAGTTACTGGACCACGAATTCGATGTTCTTGAATATTTCTAACTTTAGCACTTAGATGGAAGTCACATTTTACTGAGAGGCTACTAAACTTTTTCAATGTTCGAAACTTATTTTAGATATTATTCTAAATTTACATAACTCTTTCAAGATTGCTTTCAAACAGATTCCACCATAATTGCGCTAAGTCACTGATAGTGACGCTACAATAAACAACACAACGGTGAAGGAAACCAACTGAATGACTTTGTCAATATTAGCCTCATCCAAGTGTTTGCACATTAAAAGCGTCATCGTAGCCTTCGTTGATTCCTTATAGTAATAATATAAGTCTTCTAAAAGACGGTCATTATTAAGCAAGAAAGAATATGAAGTGAGATAATTTTGAAAATAAAGGCAGCCATGCTATTAATTGTTTAACCATTCTAACACGTATCATTACAATCTAACAAAATACGTTTCATAAAAAAATAAACACTCAAAACTGTTTATGTTATTCAAGAATATAACTATGAGTTCAAAGTTAAATGTGTCATTTATTTTGTGATTAAACTAACACCACATAAATTGGAATACGAAGTACGTCTTGTTATCTTTCCCCCCTATCTGCATCTCTCTATCACGTTGAAGTTAGTTTCAAAGTACAAACATATTTCAGTAGAAAAATAACTAACATGACTATTTGTTTTCGAAATGAAACACATTTTTTCAGCCTACTTGATATTTGTACATGAATACTGACTTCAATAAATAATAAAGTAGCACAGTTTAATAAGTGATTCCACACGTTTTTTCGTCATATTGTTTACAAAACTATCGTTTCAAAATGAGTTACTTCAAATGAGTTAGCTCAAATCTTGTTAAAGCCGTGAATTCACTTTGCAGATTGTAAAATTGAGACAGAATTTACATGGCATTCAGCATTCAATAGAAACTCCTCATCCTCACCTGAGAAAACTTCTACAAGCACTCTCACCATTCGTCTCTCTGACAGGAGGAACTCGTTGGAACAATGTTCTAGAGTAGGAGATACCAGTGTTGAAACTGGTCGACAGATGGCATTGTGACAGTCCACGCCCAGATTGATGGACAGTTATTCCTTGTGTCATTAGCGAGGTGCATAAGCGCAGTAGCTGACACAATTGTGAAGGGAATTCGTCTATACAGAAACCTTCAACCAGATCCGATCGATGCTGGTCATTCCCAACGTCTAAAGTGCATAATAACAATTTTAACATTTGTTCCTTGACTAATGTTCATATTCATCACGTTTCTCAAAAGTTGCTGTTCAACTGAAATTACTTTTAATTTTTATTTAGCTTAATTGCTCAATAAACTGTAGCAGAGAATTTGACTAATTGAAATCAAGTTGACTCGACAGGCAGAAATGTGAGAGAGAGATTCCACTTTATTCTTCCTTTACTGTGAATCAACTGACTCAGTAGGGAAATACAACACTGTTTAATCACTTATCGATCGCCTAGTTGATAAATACACTAGGTCGTTCCACTTGAAGTAGACGAATGGGGATAATAAGACGTCTATTCTCAATACACTTTACATGAAAGGCGCCAGTTTCCAGATGCCAACAGTATTTCACATGAAGTAAAGGTTATTCACATGTCCATTATTTATACAGGCGTATATGTTGTGTGACTTTTAGACTTATATTTAAGATGAAAGCAGAGGGTATGTCATTTGGAAATGAAGTTGTGCAATTTTCCTTTCACAAGTACATTTTCTAAGTGAAACAAAGACATGGGATTTTGAAAGTGTGCATTATATGAACTGACAAGACAAAAGGGATGGATTGGTGTCCAATTATAAAACATTTCCTGATCAGTAGGCCTGTTTCCACTACTGATGTTCTGGACAGAGACATGAATGATTCTACATAGTCCACTCGAATATCAGTAATTGATTGAGCGTGCAAGTCTTTATTCATGTTAATTGTTGAACAGTGAGTCGAACCGATAAAGATTTTATGCACTTCATCTAGTGGAGATTTTGCCGACTTTCAACTTTTTGAAATCAATGAGATTGAAGCAAACAACATTTAATGAAGTGTTAATTGGTGTTTGGCTACAGTGAATTTGTATTGAATGTTTTCATATTATCAAGTATTGGTTTCGCAGGGACTTTACTTTGATTGATTGGACGATTTTATGATGAGCTGACATCAGTTAGAGAATCATTGAAAGACAATGGGAAGTACTGGACAGCTGTTTCGAACGCCTTATTCGGAACTCTGCATCAGTAAGCACCCACGGATAGGGTTCTAACCAAGAACCTTCTGGTTACAAGGCTAGCGAGCTCGTAGACCTTGACCTCACTGGAACCCGATACAATGGCCAGCCAGCCCGTGAATTCTAACTTCTGCCAATTCATGACATAGCTCGAACACTCTACAGTGTCTTGTTTGATGAGTTACTACATCACCTTCAACCTGCTGCATCCTACCGGTCACGGCTTCCCACAAGAACTTCAGGTCAACTGCCTGAGTAGGGCATCCAATACAGTCCTACAGGAGGTCAGTCGTGAGTCTGAATAGCTCAGTGGTAACGTCTCTGACTATAGCACTGGATGACGCAGGTTCGAATCTCAGAGGAGACATCAGTTCCTTCAAGTTTGTAGATACGCGTTGATGAGTGCCAACTAGCACGAAACCTAGGTTCAAGGCTTCCTGCCGATTGCCTTCAACCACCTAATACCAAGAAAATCATATTGTACCTTGCCGGCTATGTTTAATAATCAATTATTAAGCTGGCGTGTGCGTCGGTGGCACAGCGGTTAGGACGCTTACCGACCGTGCACGTAGTCCGGGGTTCGATCCTCGACCGGCGAAATCCTCTACCTCGCTAAGCCGGTTTTGAAGCTGGTAAAGTAAGAAGGTTGGGCATGAGGTTAGCTACCCCATCCTGTAAAATAAAAAATCAACTTCAGAGCTCTAGCTTGAAGCCATAAGTTACACTGAGAACGTAAAGGAATAAAAAAATGAGCACGCACTCTGTATTCAATGGAGAGTTACTTCATGTCTGTGAAGCGAAATTAGGTTACCTTAGATATGCACAGTGGTGGGATTCCACCGGAATAATTTTAAGCGGCCATAAGGAGTAATTATCCAAGAACAACTGCTCTCATCTCACAAACACCAGAATTACTTTGATAAGATTCTGCATTGAGATATGATTGAGAGTGTGTTGGGCGGAACACCTGAGAATGCGTATTTCTAGACAGACAGTGAGTATATTCCTCAAACAACAATGCATTTCACTGGATATCAGAAGTCTATTGGAAATTCATTCTACATAGAAATCATTCAAATATCAAACAAAATTAAGTGAATTACAATCTTCAGTAGAATTCCGCGAATTGTTCACGTTAAAATGGACAGAAACCAGGACCGAGAACAGGGTGAGCTGGTATGCCGTTCCTGAAATCAAATGATAAAGAAATAAAGAAAAGTCTGCTGTCAGCTACATATATGAAGTTATTCTTGACTGCGCTGTTTCACACGTTGAATAACAGAAATTAGAAAAGCAAAAGGTGATCAACGATGGAGTCAGTAATGACGCGTCATCTGTATATTCTCCTTCAACATTTGCAAAAGGACTATTTCTTGCTGGACTGAAACAATTGTTAGTCAATGAACTGGACAATTTCGCTGACCACTTTAGATGTATCACTGCTGTACTTTACTTAAAATTCCGTGTTAAATGCACTGGTCTGTAGCACTTCAGCAGTGAATAACCAACCCCATGATGTTTAGGAAATCGCAGGCACCAGGATCTTTCCCTCTAAATGACATTGTTATGTGCAGATTAAGTTTGTCATTAAAAAATATACCTCTGGCTGAATCAGAAGTAGGGATAGTTGAACTGCTAAACTATCCATGTTTGTACTGATACTATTTGAATTAAATCATATCAGTCAAATCAGTTTCTGTGCTAGAAACATTTAAAAGTAACTTCCTGTACACTGTGGCGATTAGGACCAGGTGACGATTAACATAATTGTTCAGCAACAACGACATGCCTACCATCTCTGATAACATTCATGTTTAGGAGTTTTAGATATGATCAGTTATCAATTCGTCAAGTAGTATGTTACGGAATAATTCGCTAGCACCTAACTTGATGACACCGAATGTCTAGGAAAGGAGATTACTGACATAACCATATCACAGTGTCCCATTCATAGTTGCATCAAATGGCTACAGAACCACAATATTTAACCAGAATATGCATGACTATAAGTAGAGGGAAACTCACTGGCGCATTCTGCATCGAAGCTCGTCCAATCTCTTTCCGAATTCGTCTATACTGTCAGGGCGTTTCGTCCAAAGTCGTTCAGCTGTAGCAGCACCTCTAGGCCTACATATATATCACAATAATGAGAAGAAACACAGAGAACTGTGGTCAGCGAGGTGAACTAATACACATCACAATAGCGTTTTGTCTTAACTCATTCAATGTAGGTCGGTAATGCATTGAATGTTATTTAACCAAATTAATTGGCCAGAAAATTCTCATCTGTGAATCATATGTCATAACGTTTCATGGAATGAACAGACGTGTCACTCAATTTCCTGCCAACTGTGTCTTTCATGTATAGGGAAATGCAACTTTAACGGGAACAAAATCCCACAGTCTAGATATTCAGTCATTATGATTCCATATGGCAATTCGAAGAAAGCGAATTCAAGTCGAAGTTGAACTTCATTTTCAACGGTTCACATGTAGGTATATTGTCTGTTGATACTGGGTGTATAGTTAAAAGAGCACAACGAATCATTACCACTCACATTTATGATATTCTTTTGATGTTCACCAACAGTGAGTTATAGATGAAGTCATCATTCTATTTCCAAGATGTCATCTAAACTCACTGTTATGTTAATGGGGTATCGATTTTGACTGAAAATCATCACCGAAACATTTTGAAATTTCCTGTCCTAAACAACATTTTGATTCACAATTGAGATGCCTACCAAACAATGATTTTGGTGAGAATAGTGGGAAGACTAAGTGAAGAGTACTCACCAGGCTAAAGACATTATATTCGTCGCATCCACACGTGTGCTCCACAGTGTAGCTTCACCTCCAATGACTGATTGTGTTTGCGTAGATGAGCCTGTAAACAAAATGAAAAGTGTTATTTGCTCGGGGAACCGATGAACTCAGTGAGGAAAATTTACTGGATTTCAGAAAGTCAAATCCGCACATTTTGCTGAAGAACGCGACTGATAGATTTGTAGGTCAACTGCTTTGAAAAATCGCGAATTTCTGTGAACTACTGTTCAACACTCAAAATGTAACGCAGATATCCTGCAGATTAGCCAGTGCTTCTTTCCAAACTAAAGAGCTACTCACGTAGCAGGTCAAGGATAAATTGCTAACTATGGCCTCAATAATGTGCGAAACAAAAGTTTCAATGTTCCCATTGCATAGGCCATACTCAGTGATCTTCATCCAGGTGTGCACAAATGTGTACTTGTATCTTTGTATAAAGAGGCAAAAAATGTTTCAATAGTGTAATCTTAGCACACTTTCCGGAGAAGGCATTCTCAGTGATCTCCGATGTCGTTGGAGACGTGTGTAACAGAGTCCAACAGGGTTTTCTCTTAGTCAATTCTCTAGTGAGGGTTTGATTTCGTTAGTGCACTTGTTCAGTATTTATGAATTCGTAATGAAACCAACTATTTCAGAAAATTCAATAACAAGGAAAACAAAATCCACAACTAGATCCCGATTATTACACAATTCCTTAATGATTGACTCCTGAGTTCAATGTGAATGTCCCATTGACTTCCATTATATATGTATATATACATTTTGCTGTGAATATGCCGACATACTGTACATAGTCAAACGAATGACACTTGTAACTCAAGGAACATCGCACTCTCTGCAATCATTGTGAATCCGTGTTCATTTCAAAACTGTTGCATAACACAGGCAAAGTGAAACTTAGAACACACCCAGATAAATGCCGTCAACACATAAATCTTGTTCAAAATAGTACCAGTTTCAGACTACGCGATAATTAACTCACCTCCAAAATCTCTGATATTCTGTGCGTAATATCTCATCCAATCAAGATCAGTTTGTATGTCATTGAGATTCCATGTGCCAGAAACTATGACCTTATATCCATCTAGAATGGCAGTGTGGACGTGTTTTTGCCAATCTACAGTTTTCCAGACATGAATGATTGTTCTACGGTCAATCTGTTACAACCGAATGAAACATTTGTAAAGTTAGTGGTATGAACATCAAACTGATGTAATTATTAAGATTAATTTGAAAGGAATTATCGGTTGATTGTTATTCAGGAAACAAGAGATGACACATCGAACCGATGAAGCATTTCGTTCACTGGTTGACTGTATAAAGTCATTTTACCTGAGATATCAAATTTTCTCTTGTCTCTTTTCAGTAGTTTGCCAGACATTTGACATGCATAAATATGCAACAGGTTAGATTTATTCAACCAAAGAATTAAATTAAATCGCCTCAGTTCTTTAATTATCTCGTAAACATTTAAAATGAGTAGCGATCATAACTTGAATTGAGTAAATATTGATTTGATTCTGTTCATGTTGGTTAACAGTGAGAATGTAGATACAAGTTTCTTTCTGTTCAAGACTCATCAACTAGCTGTATGATCACTCTGCTGAACGACAGGTTTACCACTGGAACTGGGAACAAAGACACAAGCCAATGTGTCTGTTCTGTGATTCCATGTATCAACAGACACTCACCACAGAGATATAGAGAAAGAAAATTTCCATTAACGAAGTGAATTCCTGTGTCCTGTCCAAAGTGAATAATCACATGAAATAACTTCACTGATCAAATACAACCAGATGAATTCACGATCAAGCACACGAATTATTCTGTTGTATTTAGGTCGACTGGGTTGTCAGAGTGAGAGAGCTTAGCCACACTCAGAATGACAGACTCCACTGGACAAGTAATAAGAGAAAATATTCTCCTATCACCATACATGAAGTAACACCCCAACACAGCATTCGGCGACCTAGATCTGTTTGCCTGATGATGATGAAATAGATGGATTATTTTATCATTAGACAGCAAATCGGCCAACATGGAACAAATGTTTTAGACGTGAACTAAAATAACTTGAAAATAAATGCTTGCAATAATCTGTCTTTGAAGTATTCGTCAAAATATTTGACTGAATCACAACATTACTGCGTAGCGTCAAGTAAAAAGGACTGTCAGTGGGATACAGAAAATCATCACTGAATATCGAGTGTAGTGATCTAATTACAAGCATATTTTCCAAAACTTACTTCACATTCATCACGATAACTCTCCTGGTACACAATTGGGGTGATCGGTAATTCAGGGTCTTTCGTCATGTTCTTAACAATCTCAATAAGTTTCACAAAGTGATATTTATTTAATTGGTAATAATCCTCGCCGAATCCCATGTCTTTCATGAATGTAATTACTTCTGGATTCGACCGCCTAAAATGAACAGGAAACAATAAATATATTTGTTCCATGTTCTTGTCAATGTTTCTATTTAAACTGCCTACAAATAAGGAGCAGCAATTTGAAGTCTCCCATTAATCTACATGAATTAATTGTTAAAATACAACTTGATCAGAGATTGTTGATGAGGATTTTCTATTCCACTCAATAGAAGGAAGAGAATGAGAGAGATGGGTGCTGTAATATTCAGTATTCTACTGAAGAAGAAAAAGAAGAAGAAATAGTCGTGTCTTATGGACAGTTGTCTTCATTGGCTTATGTTAACCATCCAGAAGAGGAATAATGTGAGATTATATTTCGCAGGCGATTTGTCGCTTCCATGTTTGATTGCAATAAATGTTTTGCAAATCGCCAGTAATATCAGATAAATGGACAGTTTAATACAAAAAAGATATATTTTAGTAAGTCGGTCACTCAGGTATAGAAACGCTCGAAGGTTGTTGCACACTGTTTCATATACACACAGTTTTCGACTCAAGTTATCAGACATCTTCAGCACACACTTCAAAATGCCGCTACGGCAACACTATAAGTAGTGTTTGTTTTCACATTACTAGTCAATCTACAAATTGGCAACTCAAATGCCGTGAAGTCTTATTGCAAAAAACCATCCATGTCACTTCCCAGTGCTTGAATCGAGAGGTGTTCTTCCTGTTGCTCACAAGGAATAATTATTGAAATGCACATGAATCGATGAAAAAATTGTTTAAATGAGACTAGTTCAGCGCCTGTTAGTCTGAGACAGATAAAAGTATGCCTTCAGTTTGAAATGAAAATATGGCGATGCCGTAATATTGATTCTATATTTACTCTTATGTAAAATCAACAGAACTCACCAGCACTCATAGTCAACCTCATTGCCGCCGAGGTGAATGTAATTGTCACGAAATTTACCGAAGATTTCTCTGAAGAATTTCTTCAAAAACTCATACAGTGATGGATTGGCTGGATTCAATGGACCCAACTTTCCCTTTGGTTCAGGGCCAATGTAACATTTGGTTAATAAGTCTGGATATCCTTTCCCCCATGACAAGGTATGTGCTACAAAAGATGATTGTAACAGTCAATGGAGATCATCCGTACAATATTTCGATAAATAATGTCATTGGACCAATAATATTCACGTAGTTCACTGGTCGGATAATTCCCTATATTGTCTAGATAATAGTTGGCGACTGAACAGAATCACAAACTGTGAATTTTTTCACAAACACCTTGGGTTTATAATTTCCAGCAAAATCAAACCTGCTAGGTAACTCAGCAAAGGTAAACGCCTCTCATCATCTCCTTGCTTCAACACACATTCAAACAAGAAATCATGCATAAACTGCACTATATTTTTGATGACTATCTTGAATTGGTTGATAGACAGTCTACTTTCAGCATTATTCCAAGAGCATGTTCATACTGATTCAAATCTTTGCATGGTATTATTTCATTTGAACTCACATGATGGACAATTACATCATATTAAATATATATTTAGAATTACCTACCTGGAGTATCAAACTCGGGAATCACACGAATTCCACGTTGACGAGCGTAGTCCAACAGTGTTTTCACATCTACTTCACTATATGTGCACTTCAGAGGATGATATGCACCCTGTTGTAGTTAAAACAAACATTTCGATCGATGAATGACCTGATTTTCACCTTACTCACCTTCTCTGAAAATTCCGGCCAAGTAGTTGAGACAAAGGGAAATGACTGATCATCTGTTATATGCCAATGAAACACATTCATCTTGACCATGGCCATGCTATCCTGTTAAGAGAAAGCATCATACCTACTATTGCACTTCTTACTATCAGTTTCTTCAGGATATCAAGAGGCAAGAAGTATCTCGCAGTATCTATCAGCATTCCACGGTGAACGAATTCTGGTTCGTCTATCAACGATCCTTGAAATATAACATTCTATATGATGATATGAATTAATGAAATCAAGCCAAAGGTAAAAACGAAACTCACCCCTCCACCTTCTCCCTGGTACACCAATTGAAGTATGGTCTCAAAGGCGTGTAAAGCACCCCAAACCTCACTGGAGTCTATGGTAATTTGGGAATCTTCTATATTCACATTATCTGCAAAATGGTGATTGAATTAGTCGTTGTGGTACAACTCACATGATTCATCAGTTGATGCAGTTAATGATGGCCATAGCGGACCTTGCTCTTCGTCACATCCCAATTCAATTTTGATATTCAGAGTGTTTATGTTGCATGTGACTCCAACTTTTTCGGATATTGGCGGATGTTTCAATTCCAGACGATTTTGAAATCTCGTCACAGCATCTGACAATATATTGCATTTGGAATAGCTGTGTCGAATGTCAAGTGGACGTTGTAAATAGCAAAGTGTCGGAGATTTTTCGTAGCTTGATGGCTTCGGGACTATTGCTGTTGTATAAAGTGAGTTATTCAGCAGCAGTGCAATCAAGAACAACACAAAATTAATAATCATGATTTCTCTGTTCTTGTTTCTTCTTCTGTTGCTTCAATCTCCGTAGATTTTATGCTAACACTGAAATGGACTTTGGTCTAATCTGATATTTAATGACAGAATCATCACACAATCACATGAGTATTTCATCTAATTACTTGTTTTTTCTACTGAATTTGGTTACCATAGTCTAACAAAATGTACTGGTTGATGTGAGTGGTGTACAACTACTTATATCAATCAATCAGTATTATGTAGGTTTTGTATGAAGTGAATACAACTCCCAACAGTTGACACACACATGGGTTAACGTGTTTTATGTCAAGCCATGACTATAAAACTTCGGCTGATTGTTGTGCAGTGGTAGTTAGAAGTTTTAGATCCTTATGGGGAATACGCAGCACTTCAACTAGAACCACCTGTCAAATTTTCAATAATCTGAACAATTTTCAATAATTCATATGCATTTCTGGTAAAATCGAAACTAGAAAACTGCGTCCCGGTAGCCAGTCCTTGTCTCAAGACAATCTCACAGATAATGAAATAACACCAAAATAATTCCAGACGTACAAATTTTGGTTTGACCATTTTATCATAGTAGAAATGCACAACAGTTTAAATCGCTTCTCCTTATCATACTATTGGCAGACAGGATATCTCGTCACAGTGTTATTATATCTAAGAAATGACCATGAACTTGACCTATCTTTTCTCTTCCTTCCCCCGAAACTAGAATACTGCGTCCAGGTAGCCAGTCCTTGTGCATTTCAAGAGAAATAGGAAGACCGTTCAGAAAACCAGAATGAAGTACATTGTTGTGAGTACCATTTCTTCCATCAAGTCTTCAGTTGACGCATTCAAGATGAAATTAAGCAAGTAAAGGTATCTTTTTGAAAAGCCTTCTATCGTCAATCAAAAAATGCTTTGTTGGGTGTGAAGCACCCTAAGTGAGCGGATTTCGTACCTCGAGGATATTTTAATCAGACAGCCTTCGTTCACTTAATAGCCTTTCCACTTGTTTGAGGGAGAGGAAAAGGGTAAAAGATGAGCAGCAGCAAGAGGTAAAAACGAAGAGTGGAACGAGTGAGCCAATCGATACCAAATTTAGAAAAATGATGAAAAGAGAGAGAAATATGTAGCAGCTAAACGATTGACAAAAATTAGGCACACACGTATGATTGAATATAAAGACAAGGCGGAACTGTTAGTGATAGCACGGATAGGAAAGTTATTTGTAAGGGAGGCAGTCGCGTCACTAGACGGTTGATAATTCTAAAAATTAGGTACCAGCTATATTGGCACTCGACCTCGGGCACAAGCACTCTCTATATTAGTGTCCCTTATAATACTAATTTTTAAATTATCACTTCGTAACCAGACTGCAAAACGTGTGCTTATCCAATCGAACAATACACTGAAATAGCTCATTTTTTTCAGCCAAAGACAGGCTTTCACAAACGAAGTATTAGTGACTCACCCTCACAACTCCTGAAAGTCATACGCTCTTTCCCATGTGGATACAACAGGTTCTTCAAATCTAAGAAATGACTGACCCCTATCGGCTTAAAACAAGTCATTTCTGCAAGTGTCAGTGTGTGGAGCTTAGCAATAATTGTTAGCTATCGTGATACGTAAACTCACTGAGAAATTGGGACCAGTATTGTTTGAAATAACATAGATGTCGAAAAGAATATGAATAACATGATAGACGTTTTGATGAAACTGACCTTCAGTCAAATAGGTTCCGACAGAATGGGCTACATCACATACTGAATCGGTATTTTGCCTAAAGCTTGTACATTTCACTTGCTAGTTCCAGCTGTTTAAGTTATTAGGACATAAGTGCTAAAATAAAACACAAAGGCTTCAAAGCTAACAAGCATTATTGGTTCTTGTGGTGTTAAGCACATGTCATAAACTGTAAACGTATTAAGTGCCATATTTTCCCAGCTATCCATAAATATATCTGCTACGACAGGGGATATTGGTGATCCCATTGCTACACCTTCAGTTTGTCTATATATTTCGCCCTGGAATTTAAATATTGTAGATGTGAGGCATAGCTGAATCCCTAAAATAATTTCTTCAATGGACAGCTTTGTCCTATGATTGAGTTCAGTATCCGCAGTTAGTTCTTTTTTAACTGCTTCTAAGGCCATATTGACTGGTATATTAGTATAAAGACTGGTTATATCAAAACTAACCATTGTTTCATCATTATCTAGTTGTATGTCATTTAGTTTATTTTTCATCTCATATGAATTAGTTAGTCTAGAATTTGAACGATTTCTAATGGGGCATAATATTAGAGCTAAATGTTTTGATAATTCATATGTAGGGGTATTTCTAAAATCTACTATTGGTCTTATGGGATAACCTGGCTTATGTATTTCAATAGTACCATACATCCTACTAGCATTATTAGTTTTAGGCATTAAATTAAACCATTTTGACTCACGCAGTGACGGCTTTATTCTGCGTACTAATTCCGCT